CAATGCTGGTTAGGGTAAATCAGAGAAGACTTTTCAGGCCATGTTTAAAAAGAATGGTGAAGGACATAGTCTGGCCTAAGGAGCTTACTCTTCTACCGTCTCCTGTCCTTAGAATCAAAGAATCACAGGGCTTAGAGCTAGAATGGAACATGGGTTCCTTCACCTTTTTTATTTTATGGACCCATTTGGCAGTCTGGTAAAGCTTATTGATCCTTTTTGGAATAACAATTTTAAATGCAGAACAAATTATGTAAGATTATAATAGGGATCAATTATATATTAGAATTTTGTTATCAGCATATGTTTAAAGAAAAATCAGGCTCATGGTTGAGAACCGCTGAACTAATCCAGTTTTCTCTCTCTGCTTTTCTTTTTTTTAAAAGTGTTTGATCTAAGTAAGACCTCTGGAGGCTAAATGATTTGCCTAGGGTCACACAGATAGCAAGTACCTGAGCAGAGATGTAAACTCAGGCTTTGTGACCCTGAATCCAATGTTCTCTCCACTGTCAGACCAGTGATTTTAAGTATGGACCTAAACATTTGCTTTGTAGCCCTCTCTTTCTCCGCCTAAGACTATATAGAACCAGAATGACAATGAAATGGGGTGAGGAGTCTGAGTGAAGTGAATTCATCTCTGCTTGAAACTGCTGTGACTGGTGGTACTACATGGAACAAGAATGAGGGAGTTCTTATTTAGCTGATAGTTGGTTGATATCTGGAGTTGCATTTATAATAGTGAAATTTTTCTTTAGAACTATGTTATTAGGCTGCCAATATTTAACATTTTTTTGACATGTGTGACCTGCGTCTGGTGAGACAAATCTGACCCCATTTTGATTGATCAATCTGTTTTGTCCTCTTTCTTCACTTGCCTGCCTCCCTTTGGTGTCTACTTTCTAGCTAGTTTAGAACATGTTTGTATCTCCAGCTAGGAGACAAGGGAAGGAAGGAAGTAAAACGAAATCAGTTAATTCTGGCACCTTTTGGAAGCATACATGGAGAAGCAGTTGAAATATATGGCCCCAGTGAGGTCCATGTTCTTGGTGGGTGTCAGTCCTCTGTGCTAAACCCAAAACTTATCCTCCTAAGTATATGAAGCTTATCTCATTAAGTAGCCTTCCATTACCAGTCCTGAGGTCCATATTATCAAGTCTTTACCTGAATGGATTAGAGTCTTTTTTCTCAGGATGTGATAGGAAGTAACACTATATAATAGGAAGTCAAGACAGTATGGCGTATGGCACAAAGACCAGGCACAGTTGTGGAAAACTTGAGCCCTTTGGGATGTCTGGCGAGAGCTTTGCTTCTCTTGCTACTTCATTCAGCTTTTGAAAGATAAAAGGACCAAGGAGCAAAGTTACTGCTGGATTTAATGCTAATCAATGAGGAAGTGGTTGGAGTTGTAGGAGTTGACAGGAACTCTGGAAAACAGAGGCCATATCATCTTAGCATTTGTAATAGAAAGAAAAAGAACATTCAGTATGGACTTGTAGAGCGTGCAGTATGTACTTTGCGGTCAATAAATGTAGAATGAATGTTGTTCCCCGTACTTTAGAATTTAGAAAAGAGATTTCAGAAAGTGTGAAAAATAGTTTGGTGTGATCTCATGGCTGGAGACTAAAAGAAAAACACCATGGAAGAGGACTGAGAGACAATGATATGTTGATAGTATGATCATATATGATCCCAATGAAGAGGAAAAGGTCAAGTTGTAACCTCTGGGGCTTGTGCTCTAAACTGTCTGGACTCATGTTTTAAAAGGACGAGTCTAACAGTCTAACAAAGTCAGGTAGGCAGTGATAGCTGTGACTGCTGAGGGAGGGGGTTTAATATGTGGGTATTAGGGAGGTTAAATCCCACTCTGGGCTAAGCCTTTCATAAATTTTCAGGACAACCAGCAGCGTTTTCCTTAACTGTATTGTAGGGGCCCGACAGAGGAAGATTTAAAAAAGGGGTAGTCGGGGCAGCTAGAAGGCACAGTGGATAGAGCACCAGCCCTGGAGTCAGGAGGACCTGAGTTCAAATCTGGCCTCAGGCACACAATACTCATTAGCTGTGTGACCCTGGGCAAGTCACTTAACCCTATTGCCTAGCCCCCCCCCCCCCAAAAAGGGATAATGGAGCTACACCTTGATGAGTAGGTATGAAAATTTCAGTGAATGAAAGGGAAAGGAGAAATGTTAAACTCTTACTTTGTTTCTGTTTTCTCTATCAAGGAATGTGACCTTTAGACTGAAAAAGGATAAAGCAAAAATGGGTAAGAGAGAATGGAAATCAGAGGCAAATGAGGAGTTAATACAAGGACACCCAATTGGTCTGAACAAAGTCAAGTTAGTGACTTCTGTCCTGGTGTACTAAAACTTGTGGATGTGATTGTTGAACCTCAGTTGGCAATCTGTGAAGAATTAGGAAGAATAGGAGCATTGCCATGGAACTTAAAACAGAAAATGTCCCCCTGATTGTCAAAAAAGGGAATTGGGTGCACTCAGGTCTCTGGACCAGGAAGCTGGTGAAATTCTTGGAGGATTATTAAAGCAATGGTTTGTTAGCGCTGAAAAGGAATTGGCCAATTACACTGAGCCATCATCCATCAGGGAGTTGGCATGAATATCATGTATTACTATGAGGTTTTTAGACTCCTTGAATGCAGGGACTGTATCTCATTTCTCTTTCTATTTCCTCCAAAGTTTAGCAGTATTTTGCTTTTAATAGATACTAATAAATGGTTGATGAATGAATTAAAAAAAATTTATTCATATGATATCCTTGAGGACAAGATAGAGATATATAGGCTAGAGCAGGGGTGGGAAACCTGTGTCCTTGAGTCCCCATGTGGCCTTCTAGGTCCTTGAGTGCAGCCCAAACTTTACAGAACAAGTCCCCTTAGTAAAAGGATTCGTTCTTTAAAACTTGGGTTCAATCAAAAGACCACACCCAAGGACCTAGAGGACCACACGTGGCCTTGAGGCCACAGGTTCCCCACCCCTGGGCTAGAGGGTGGTAAAATTAGGTACCTTTGATACAATCTGGAGTATAAGAGCTGACATTTATCTGACACTTAAATGCTTGCAAAGCCTGTGACATGTATTATCCTATTTAAGCCTTCCTAAAGCCCTATGGAGTAGTTGCAACAGGTATAGGATTCACATTTTAACAGAGGAAGAAACTGAGGCTTAGTGAAGTTAATTGAGTTACCCGAAGGCCAGAGATGGATTTTTGACCCAGATTTCTCCTGACTCTGAGAATGCACCCTTATCACCAAATGGCGATCTGCCTTGCACTGTAGGGTGCTGTCCTAGGTCCTAGGTCTTGTTCTGTTTAGTTGGAGGAAGACATGTTTATTCTATTTGTGGGTGTTAGGAAGCTGGGAGGACTTGATGATCTCAGCAGGCTTTAATAATGATCCATATCTAATGAGAGGCTTTAATAGTTTAATAGTGTTATTAAAATGATGCACTCAAGAGGAAAAAAAATTCTCATGTGGCTAGAGAGCAACAGCTCCCATGAAAAAGACTTTTGAGTGAGTAACGGTGACATCATGGCATCCAAGAAGGCAGATGCCCTGAGGTTGTATCGGAGCTGTGACTGCCATCCCGGTTGGACCACCTGGGGACCTGGCTTCAGTTCTGGCTGTCAGCTTTTATAAAGGAGCTGGTTAAGCAGGAGCCTGTCCAGGCTGGTGAGAGCCAGCACAAAGATCTAAAGAGCTCTGTTGTAGAGAAGAGGAGAGACTTGGGCAGGGGGAGGGATGCAGTCATGGCACTCACATGTTTGAAAGATCTGTCACGTAGTAGAGGAAATTGTTTTGTTTGGCTCCAGAAAGCACAGTTAGGACAAGAGGGTAGAAGTTAGAGGCAGCCATTTGGTAGTTCCCTGCCTCACAGTTTGAGTTATCTAAAAAGGTTATCACACGTCTTCTTAGATAATGAGATCTCCATTTCTGGAGATATTCAAGTAGCACCTCCGTGATTTTGTTTAATCTCTTTTAAAGGACGGGGCCCATGGCACAGGGTAGCAGTACATGAGTGGAAGCTCAGGAGCTGAGTGGAGTGATCAACTGTAACAAAGTAAACATGGTATCAGTATCCTCAGTTTATAGATGAGAACTCTGAGGCTTAAAGAGATGGAGTGATTTGCCCATGATCGCACAGTTCTAGTCAGTGGTAGTGGCAGAATTTGAACTCAAGTCTTTCTGACTCTGAGTGTGGCTCTCCATGTGTGGTTCTCCCATGCTGTTTCCCTGTCTCATTCCACAATAAATCATGAAGAATGTGCTTTCTGAACTCTGAGGGGAGAGTGGTTGTTATTGACCTGGGGAAAAGGAAAGCTTTGTGGAAGAGCTTACTACCTTACTGTTTGAGCTATTGAAAGACGTCATTGTATTTGGGCTTTAAAGGATGGGTAGGAATTTAGCAGGTGAAGAACAAGAGGAAAAGTGTTTCAGCAACACGGATCCCAAAAGGCCCTGTGATGAGAAGAGATAGGGCATAGAGTACTTGGAGGGGACTGACCTGAGGGGAAGTTACAGAGGCAAAGTGGGGCCATGTAGTGGAGGGCCCTGCCTTTGAATGTGATTTGGCAGGCAATGGGGATCCCAGAATGGTTGTACTAAGTGATTTCGAAGTGCCTTTCCAAGTCCAAGATTCTGTGGTTTTATACATTCCCATCATACTTCTTATCTCTTTTATGTAACTTACACGTTCTACTTCCTGTGATTAGTAACAAAGTATTTCCCTCCTCTTTTCCGCCATTAGTTGTAAGCTCCTTGAAGGCAGAGGCTGAGACTTAACCATTAAATATGAGATTTGCTGGGAATGCTTGAAAGCTCCTGTTCTAGAAACTAGAATACTGCCTGTCAGGTACCCACCCCATGGGCATCCAGTATCTGCCTGTTGGTTGATCAGTAGCTGCGTTGTGTACATATGTATATTTATCTGTATTCACAAAATGCTGTATATGCCTGTGTTTCCGTGAAATGTTTTCTGTTTTGTTTTTAATAGTCTGTTCGTCAATTGAAGTACTCCTTGTTTAAGAAATCTCTCCTGGGCAGTGTGTCTGATAATGGAGTAGTAACTCTTTGGGATGCAAATAGTCAGAGTCCATACCATAACTTTGAATGCAGCCACAAAGCTCCAGCCTCGGGAATATCTTTTTCTCCTGTCAATGACATGCTGCTTGTAACCATAGGCCTGGATAAAAGAATCATTCTCTATGACACTGCAAGTAAGATGTAAGTGCTTCACTGCTTTCTTAATTTGGTAATGAGTAAATATTACCCCATATTAATTAGAGTATGCATTTGTGGCTTGTCCAAAATCTAGAGAAAATTTTAGCTGCACCAAAGATGTGAGCAGATGGTTTAACACAAAATAGCTTTTTTCTTCTCTTCTTTTATGAAGGATATTCCAAAAACTAAAAGGTTTTTTCAGGGATACAAGATCCTTTCTGATGTGGGGAAAAGGAAAGCTTTATGGAAGAGCTCACTACCGTACAGTTTGAGCTATGGAAACATGTCATCATAGTTGGGCTTTAAAAGATGAGTAGGAATTTAGCAGGTGAACATGAGGAAAAGTGTTTCAGCAACAAGGATCACAAAAGGCCCTGTGATGAGAAAGGATAGGGCACAGAATAACAAGAACATTGTTCTTCTTACAATGATGATACAGTGTTTAAAAAGAAATTTTCTATGAAATACAGTTGCTTATTATTTTAAGCATACAGAATTAGCTGTCTTAAAAATTGAATGCCCTTCACAGTAGATCAACTTAATATGTAGAATTTGAAACAGGATTCTTTTTGTTTTAATACACTAGGAAAAATTAATTGCCAGAAATCCTGGTGTTACAGAATTTGCCCAATATTGATGCTATTCTATTATGTACCATCTTGTTTGAGCTCTAATCTGGCCTAATGCTGGTCTTCATAAACAAAGCTACCAGGATGTTACAGAAAGACTAGGGCCCCAGCCATGTGATTCATGTGGGGAAAGATAATGTTACAAGTAATGACAGGGAATGTCCCAGCTGACACTTCCTGCCCCGGTGTTAAGTTTTTCATGGTTACTACTTTGATAGCTTTCTGAGTGTTCATTGTTATAACCCAACTTGCTGTGAGTCCTTGGCTACTCGAATTTGATGGGGCTCCATAGATTGTAATGCCCTTTGTCCCTCAGTTCAGTGCCTCTATATTCATGTTAATGTACATACTGTTGCTATGATGTGATTTATTAGAATAAGTCTGTTGTCTTTCCAGACCCTTTCTTCCTTCCCTCCTGGTCAGCTTAGTCTTAGCTATGAGAGTTAGAAGCTTCACCCGTTAAGTTTGTTGCCTCAGCCCAAGTAGGCCCAAGTATTATGTCACTTCTTTGGGGAAAGCTGCTTCTGTTCTCCTCTTAATTGCTTCCAAATCTAAGAGATGAACAGCTGGGAAGTGCTAAGGAGAAAGTTCTCTCTTTAAGAAAGGGTCCTAGCTAGCTGTCTGTGCTGTGGAGCGATAATGCGGGGGACAGCCACAGTGGGGGAGGGAGAAGGATGATCCTTAAGAAACTCCAGCCCAGGGGCTACAGGATTTGGAAGGGAGCAGAGACTTAAGGAAGGTGGATGGGCAATACATGAATTTGGCACGTGATTTAGGTGCCTTCATTTGGTTCTTTCTGCTACAAATTTAACATATAAACTCAACAGAGACATAGGCAGTGATGTGAGGAGCACATGCCTATATGTTAACAGGAAAATAGGATGAGAAATGTCCTTTCTAAGTAAGTATGTGGGCCATATATTGAGGATATTTCAGTCCAGTTCTAAAGTACTGCTTTGTTTAGACTACCCTATTTGGAGGATTGCATTCTTGTGACATTCTAGATATAAGAGATATTTAAAGGCTGCGTTAGCATACACTTATACATAGATCTGTGTCTTTTTTCGCTTATGAAGACAACTAAGAACTTTAGTGGCTGAGGCTCCCCTAACTGCAGTAGACTTCATGCCTGATGGAGCCACATTGGCAATTGGATCTTCCCGTGGGAAAATATATCAATATGACTTAAGGATGTTGAATTCTCCAGTAAAGACCGTCCTGGCTCACAAAACATCTGTGCAGTGTATAACATTTCAGTGCTCTTCTGTTCTTTCTAAGGTGAGAAATCTTCTTTTATCATTTTAGATTTTGCTAAGTAAAATCACAACAGTAATCTGAAAGATTGAGCTTCATGTTCGACTTAAAACATGATTTGAATAAGTTATTGTGTATTAAATTTTAAATGGCAGTCTTGTTTTTTTAAATATCCATGTGATAAACCTCATCTTAAAGATGCCTGTCTTTATTTCTGTATTTAATTCTCAGATAGTCTCTCTTCCTTCTAAAACCTCTATTTTAAAAATAACTAAACTTTTCTTTGTAACTTAGAAAAAACCACACAGATGCCATAAAAATGCTGAAATTGATATGGGAGAACTCTGACCTCCATAGCAAAAAACAAAAACAAACAAAAAAAAGGGGGCATTTGTGGCTTGTCACTGCCTAGATTGGAGTACTAGTAATCAAAAAATTTTAAATTATTTTTTATTATATTTTAGTCAAGTTTAAATAAAGGCTCTTCAAATAAATCTGCCTTAAACAAAAGAACGGGTAAAGTGAGCAGCACCCCAGTTCAAAATCCTGGAATTGTCAGAGAACCAGCTTCTCTATCAGGTACTGCTGTTTTATCTCAGCTCATGACCACAGTTGAAGGGAAAGGATCGGTGGCTGTTCCGGACAAATCAGGTAAAGCTATTTTAGTATCTTAATATTTTTAGTATTTTTCACCAGATTTATATAGCCAGAATTTTCCCTGAAACCCTGAACTGTCTTATTTTTTTGTTTAAAGTAAATATAATTTTCTTTTTGTATTTAAGTAAAAGTTTTAGGGTTTTTTTTTTAAAGATGTTACAAACTATAACAGTGTGCACAGTAAAGAGTACTGGCTACCTACAAAGTGACAGAATGATGTTGGTTACAGAAATTCTTGGTGCTTCAGCTACTACAGCACCATTATGACCAAAAATTTATGAGGTTGAGGTAACATGGAGTATTCTCCCCAAACATGGATTTAATCTTACGCAGTTAAGTAGAGCATTCTTTATATTTTATTTCTGATTGTCATTTCAAAATGGAAAGAAGGAAAAGTTGCCTTTTAAAGTATGATGACTTTACAGATGAAAATCATTGAAAGATTTTTTTTTTAACTACTTAGAGGTAGATCTTTGGGATAAACCTTTTCTTTCCATGATGTTCCTTTGCTTCTTTCTGTATTGACCAACTGTTTCATTTGCTTTTGCCTGCAATAGAGTACAATGGTACAGCACTCTTAAATTGTTGAAAGGAAAGAAGGAAGCCTTTTTAGTATCTACTAAGAAATATGTCACATCAGCAACTTCTAACAGCTAATTAAAAGAAAAAACCTAAATGTGTGCTGGTATGGAAATGAGCATATGGAGGTGCCATTTTTCACTTATTCAACAGGTATTTATTGATGCCTTCAATGCTCAAGGCCATTTCCAGAATAGTAATTACTTTCTGGTGTAGAAGTCCTTGTATATATCTGTCATAATTTTGAAGTGTAAGAGACTTAGCAAAAATATTTGCTTCATGGGTTGTGTAGTTTATGTATATATAAACTATATATGTATATATATGTATATTTGTTGACTTGGATAGTAATGGGTGTTCAGTCTTCAAAATATGTAAATACATCTGTGATCTCATCCCTTTGAACACTGCTTCTTGTGATGGGGATCTCATCCTGTCCTGAGCACTCTTTCTCAATTCCCTTCCATAAATGTGCCCCAGGGGCTCTACCCGATGCATGGGGGCCTTTCCTCTGACATTGTGGGGTGACAGTAGAGTTCTTAGCCCATCCACCACATTCTTACTCTCATACGACAAGTGCTTGTTTCTCGCTCATATGTTTGAGGTGATGAGTACTTTTAGAAACTACTAAGTAGTGATTTTATATTGGCTCTGGATATCTGTGTTATCCCTGTATGTCCTGATAGATACAGGGGAAATTATTAATCATTATAGAATCCAATGAAATAGCATTTCAGCTCACTTAGGAAAAAAATTGTTGTTCTTTTCCAATATAATATCAAGTCATTTTTTCTAGGACTTGGAATTACTTTATTTATACAAACTATAGTTATTTTTAAGAATTATAAAATTAGTTCTATTGAATGTAAGTTTTTGGAAGTCTTCTTGTTCAGTAATGACAACACTCCTGAGGAAGTAAAAAAAGTTCAATTTATCTAATTGTTGTTGTTCAGTTGTTATCAGTCATGTCTGACTCTTTGTGACCCCATTTGGGGTTTTCTTGGCAAAGATACTGGAATTGTTTGCCATTTCCTTCTCCAACTCCTTTTACAGATGAGGAAACTGACGCAAACAGGATCAAGTGACTTGCCCAGGGTCACACAGCTAGTAAGTGTCGGAGACCAGATTTGAACTCAGGTCTTCCTGATTCCAAGCCCAGTGCTCTAGCCACTGTGCCACCTTGCTGCCCCCTCAGTCTGTCTAAGGGTATTGCTTAAAGATATCTAATAGGTAGTTACCCTATGGGTGAAATGGAGAGTTTACTATTTGTCTCCAAGTATCATTGAGCAGTATTACTATAATCTAGATTAGAATAGCTATCCTAATATGTGCCTTAAAAAAAAACCCATGTTGGCAAAACTAAGAACTTTAAGAAAAGCCTTATATTTATAAACTAGGAGGTGAGGAGGCATAGATTTATTGAATTTTAGTACCAAGAAGGATTTTGATAGTTGCCTAATTTAATTCTCCTTGTAACTTGTTCAGAAAGCTTAAACCCCCAAAGAGATTCAGAAACTGAACCAAAAGATTGACAGGGCCATAGCAAAAATGACCAAGCTCCATTAGTTACTTTCTCTAGAGGATTTCTTATTTTTAAATGGAGGAGCAAACCATGCCATTCTAAATGAGAAGACAAGTAGTTTCCCAGCCACAGTTCTCATCATGTTAGTTAATAATCCTGGTCATGTGAATAACCTTAGAGTTTGTGTGAAGAAGCAGAGATCGTAGGCCAGGCTTGGGGTCTACCTGCTGCCTTGAGGCCACATATGGCCTTCTAGGTCCTCAAGTGTAGCCCTTTGACTGAATCTAAACAGATTTGGTCTGTGAAGTTTGGATTCAGTCAAAGGGTCACACTTGAGGACCTAGAGGACCACATGTGGCTTCAAGGCTGCAGGTTCCCCACCCAGGCCCTTGGTCACTTAAACAAACTCATTATACTGAGAGTGAATTTACGTGTAACTTTTTTAGAAAAATATTTATTGTTTAAACCGTTATGGTATTATAGTGTTTAGAGTAAACTTTAAAAAGGTAAAGTAGTAAATCTTGAAATTATGCATAATTCTTAGGAGTTATAAGAATCCTTTATGGTGTTCATAAAACTCACTTAGTAGGCTTCATGATGGAAACTTGGATCAAATGAAGTAACATCTACTGCACTTTGCAAACCTCAAAGTATTCTAGAAAATGCTGCTGCTACTACAGCTCCTGTTATTATCAACGTTATCATTACCACTACTTGGCCTGGGTATTCTTTTGCTATTATAATGATACTTGGCAGGATCACTACCTGTCCCAGAAAGACACAGTTGGGCACTAGGGGTGTTTACCCTAGAAAAGAGAATACTTTGGGGGAGAGAGAGAACATGAAAGCTATCTTCATGTATTTGAATGCCTGTTATGTAGAACAAAGATCACAGTTCTACTGCTTGACTCCTGAGGGAAGAACTAAGGTTACTGGGCAGAAGGTAGATAGATTTTTGCTAATTGCAAGAAAATATTTCCATGTGACAATTGCTCTCAGCAGGTAGTGAGTTCCTTATTACTGGAGATATTTAAGCAGAAACCAAATTACCACTTTTGGATGAGATTAATGTTTGGGGAATTCATGCTTCAGATAGGGTGGACTAATGCTGATTAAGGTGCCGTCCTTTTAATTTGGAGAGCCTGCATTTATTTGATACTGTTTCATGAATAACAGAAATTCATATCAGTCTCCTACATTTTTGAGGTTTTTTCTCCCTGCTCCCCTTCCCCCACAAAGAGTTTTTTCCTTCTGTCAGCAACAAGTTGTTGTGTCTGTGTTACATACACCTTAAAGTCTTAGAAATTTATAAGAAAATTATTTTTATTCTAAAGGATAAATAATACAATCTCTGTTAGTGTTAAAAAAAAAAAAGGATAGATTTTATTAAATACATGCTGGAAAATCTTCCTTTGGTTTAGGTGGTTCAAACTTTTCCCTAAGATTTATCAGGCTTGTTTAAAAGGGAGGCATTTCTGAAGAGCCACCTCCTTGTATTCTGGGATCTCTGTATCACGTATCTACAACGATGACCACTGTGATAATTGTTTGGTTGCACAGGTTTTTGTCTTACATCCAGAAAGACATTTACCAGAAATGTTTGTCAGATGTTCACTCGTGGTCTTCTTGTCACTCACCTAATCATTTCAGAAAAATCAGAAAGCTGGAAGCTTGACAGGTTGTTGATATGCTGTTGCTTAAGGCACCTTGTTTTGGCCAGGCTTGTGGATCTTGGCTTTTGGCTCCTGGCTCTCCTGGAGGCTTCTGGCTGGCACTAATTATATAAATAATTGGGTTCCATAGTTTCATATCAGATAATCCTCCAAACAAGTGGTCCAGCATCAGGGCCTGGAAAAGTCAGAGCATACGGTGACCATTCTTTTGTGTTTCCCTTCTAAGAATATACTAAAGCCCTTCCTTTTAGATAATATGTAAATTCCCACCTATTCCCTGTGTCTTTTAGCAACTTTGACCTTCTGGAACATAGTTCTTAAGATAGAAAAAGCAGAAGGGATTACTGAGCATCCAAAACAGGCGGCTCTGAGCACCTGCCCTAAAATTGGGCTTTCTGCTGTGATAGTGGGGCCTCTAAGCCCCCTTCAGAGCCCATTTGTTCCTGAATACCCAAATTATCTGTGTATGCCAGCCCAGGATAATAATGGATGTTTAGTGATGTCACAAATCTTAAAGGAAAGATTAAATAACATTCAATATTCCATCCACCCCCCAGAAGGGTATGTCATATTCTAGGCAGGATTTCCATCAGAATTGGTTAGGAGAAACAGAATGGTGGTGCTTGGAAGAGTAAGCTTCCACTCCCTTGAAAACTCACCTTTTTAGAGCTCAGAAGATGGTGGAGAAATGGAACCTCGCTCTCTGTGCTCCCTTGTACTAGTATTTGTGCTAATGTTCTTGATAAAGCCACATCGTTACTAAATGCCAAACTGCCAGAACACAGGTGCAGCTTTCCAGTTTTTTTTATTAATTCCACGTAACACAGGACTTAGTTTTATATCTGTTATCTTTTTCTTCAGGCTTGCCTCGCAGCACAAATCCAGATGTCATTCCCTCTAGAGAGACAGAACATGGGAAAAATTCCGATCTCTCCGGCTTTGAGGATTCTGGGGGGAGGAGTAGTTTAGGGGACCTCTTTTCACCAGTGAGAGATGGTAAGTCTTTTGTTCACAATTCTGAGCCCTTTTTAAAAATATTATTAATTATATTCAGAAAACATCCTAGGTAAAGATGGCGGGTGAAGTTGCACTTACTGCAACTTCGGTGATCACTTCTTGACCCCTTTAGAACAAGGTGAAAGACTGGTTGGTTTAGGGATTGAGGCAAAGGAACATTTGGTCTGATCCTTTTACACCTGAATTCCTCTAATGATCTTCTTCTGATACGTTGTATTTGCTGGAACAAAATGTTAATAGGATGCTTTTGTGTAATTACTGTTGTAGCCCTAGATGTAGGGCTATGAGGAGCCTCAGAGGCATCTAAACCAACCTCTTCATCTTACGGAGGAGGAAACCGAGCCAGAGAAGGGATGTTATTTGCTCCAGATCACAGAGGTAGTGAGTAGCAGAACCAGGCATCCCTGACTCTCTTGTACCAAGAGGCAAGAAGGTCAAATGGGCGGTCATAGTAAAGATCACCACAACAGCCCTCTTGGCTGGAGCTCTCTCCTCATACCAATTCCAGGAGTATGTAAGGATTACCCCACTTTCCAGATAAGGAAACTGAGGCTCAGAGAAATGAAGTGACTTTCCTAGGGTCACATGGTAAATTCCCTGTTCTTATGGCTAGCTAAGTCTGCTGATTTTTAGAATCATACTATCTATGAAGGAAAAAAATGGTGCTGAATTTGGGGTCTCAGAAATGGAGTAAATGCCTCGCTCTACCACTTACTAGTCCGTAGCCTTAGACAGATCACTTGAACCCTTCTGATTCTCTTTCCTTGTTTGTAAAACACTATTAATGATACTTCTGTCCCCTTTTCATGACTCATTTGTAAATGGTGAAGTGATATAAAGGTAGATGGTACCCAGGAATATTGTACATTTGTTTAACTCTTTCATATATGTTGTTATTCAATTCTCAGAACAACCCTGTAAGACCAAAAAATAACCTTATTAAATTATAAAATATCTGGACAGGGTAGATGATCTGCCAAATCTAATAAAATGCAACTTAGAAACAAATATGAAGTTGCTCACGTGGCTTCAGAAGACCATATGAGTTGCGGCTTGGAGGGAAATCTACCTTTATGGCTTCTTCTTGTCTTGTTCAGTCATGTCTGACTCTCCAGGACCCCATTTGGGGTTTTCTTGGCAGAGATACTGCAGTGTTTTGCCATTTCCTTCTCCAGCTCATTTTCCAAATGAGAAAACTGAGGCAAACAGGAGTAAGTGTCTTTCCCTGGGTCATACAGCTAGTTGGTGTCTGAGGCCAGATTTGATTAAGAAGATAAGTCTTCCTGGTTCCAAGCCCAGTGCTCTATTCACTCTGTCATCTAGCCACCCCACCCATACAGCAATTATTATCAAAAAGACCCTTGGAATATTGTGAATTACCAGCTTAATATGAATGAATCATAATTATAACTGGAATTTCTAAAGTGCTTTAAATTTTCCAAGGCCCCTTATATACATTGTAACATTTGAATTTTACACGGTTCACAGTTGAGGAAACTAATGCTCAGTGGAGTTTACATGATTTGCCTGGGGAGCCCAAGTCTTCCTGATTCTGATTTTTGCGCCCTCAATCATAAAATAAAAGTTAATTAAATTTCTTGGCTCCATTAATAGAACTACAGTGGGTAGAATGAAGGAGATGACAATCCTTTTTTGCCCTGTCCTTAATAGAGCACTTTGGGAATATTTTGTGCAGTTTTGGGTACCGTGTCTTAGTGTTGTCCAGAAGAAGATAGCTGTGATGAATGAATGAAGCATTTCTTAAGCACTTATGCTGTGCAGTAAGCATTAGGGATATAAATAGAATGGTCAAATGGTCCCTGCTCTCAAGGACCTCCCATTCTAATGGGCGGGGGACAACCCATATGGAGCATTTCAGGTGCAGGTCAGATAGAAGGCCCCATGGTCTTTAGGGTGCAGCCTCCAAATATTTGCATACCTCTTCTTTAATGTCCTTTCCACTTAAAACATCGTGTTACTTTCTGATGTTAAACCCTCTGATTGCCAAAGGCTTTGGTGGCAAGAACTTTACTCTCTTGGTGTCTAGTAAGTCTGGCTCTTGCCTCTACAGGATCAGTCCCCAGAGTGCATCTGTACAGGGATTCCTCCTCAGGGTAATGGCTGCGAGCACTGGGCTGGAAGCATGGTTATTCCCAAGGCCTTTGGGTTCAAGGTTCCAGGCTGTCTCCATCAGAGTCCGAGAGTACAATGGTGGTCAAGGTAGTAGTGGTAGTTTTAGTTCAGCTTGCCTGGCCCATATTGTCTCCTTTCTCTCCCTCAGGGTGCCTTGCTGCTTCAGTAGACTGGCATGTCTGCGCTGGGTGTTGCAGTTGGTTGTCGCTTGGTAGGAATGACTGACCTCTTTTCCAGAGCGACTTCCCCAGTTGATGGCTTTGAGGTTTAGTGGTCCAGGGGATGGGTGGGGTGTGTGTGCTGATACCACTTCCAGGGCTCTTGTGTTAATTTGCCTTTTGATGGCACTTGATCAGTAGTAGTTTTTGGTGTTGATGAGGAAGGTGGACTCTGATTTCTTCATACAACGATGGCTGTGGAGGATGGGCTGGAAGTGGTTCTGATGGTTTGGGGGGACATTGCTGTTCCTAAGACTCTTGGTCTGAAGGGAGATAATTGTCAATGTGGTTGGTAGTGGTGATGGTGATTGAACCTTCCTGGCACATGCTGCCTCCTCTCACTCTCCCTCAGAGTCTCTCTCTGTGTCTGCTACCCCGACCTGCCTGCTCATGTGGCTGGCCCTTGGTTGGCATTTGGTGGAAGTGGCTGACTCTTTCTCCACGGAGCTGCTTCCCTATTTGATGGTTGTGGGCTATAAGCCACAGTAGTGGTCTGGGTACCTTTGCTGTTCTTAGAGCTTTTATGATATCATATGTTGATTCACATGTTTTTCAGAACCAGTTACAAGGGTATTTTATCTTAGAGAAGAAAACACTTGCAAAGTTGGATGTGGGACGTGATTTCTTTGTCTTTAAAAATTTAAAATATTTTCACATAAAAGAAGGTTGCAGTTTAATCTACTTGGCTGTAAATGGAAGAACTAGCACCAGTGGATAAAAGCTTAGAAAGAGGCAGATTTTGTGGACTACTTCAGGAAATGCTTATCACTGGAATCACTCAAGTCAGTGATATTGTAGAAGTGATTTATGACTTAGGAAATGGGCTGGATTATGTGACCTCAAGGCTCCTTCCAGCTCTGAGATTTTAAATTTGATTCTAGGTCTATCAGATAAGGCAGTATCTTCATTTTCCAGATGTGGAAACTGAGGCAGAAATGTTTACCCAAGTACATGGTTGTAAATATTGGCCTAGAAGCTAATGCCTAATGTTCAGTGTTTTATAGCATTGGAGATTAATCTGGGTCCTCTAGTTTGTAATTCTTGAAAGGATAAAATTTGACTTGCAGTATTATTTTTTGAGGCCACAGACCCATAGTGTGCTGACTAGTGATCTAAATATACCTGGATGTACACAGTGCATGACTTACTGGAGATTATAATATTAGGTAGCAAAGAACACGCAGTGTGCACCTTGCCTAGAAACCCTTAGAAATTGTTCACTTTTTAATTTTGTGGAGAGAGTTTTTTACTTTTGATTTTTCTGTTTTTAATTTCTTGCTTTTCTAGTCTGTTGATTTCTGAAGTATATAAAAAGTCATCCTAAAAGTACCTTTCCTCAGTTTTGTTATTCCCCTGAGCCTACAACCTTCCCACCTCTCTCTCCACTTACATGTGCTGCCAAAGCTCTGGAAAGAGTGATCCTCAGTTACAGATTCCATTTATTTCCTTACCACCACATATTCTTCAGCCCCTTGAAGACTAGCCTTTACAACTACTGTTGTAATGACTCTTCTTTCTTATAGGTCACTCAGTAATGAGCAAATTGGCAATTCCAGTGGCTTTTCTCCATTCATCCTTGATGTATCTGTAGCCTAGTGTTGACCAACTTCTCTTAGCTATGGAGAAGATGTCCCAGTTTCAAAGACAGATTCTTCCTTTTCTATCTCATTTCTATCTCATTACTTTTCCTGATTTCTTAAGATGATGATTCCCCAAGAGTCCGTCCTTGGCCCTCTTTATTTGTCCTTTACATTCTTTGGAAATCTCATTTACTCCAAAGAATTCAACTAAGTACTTTATGCAGATGATGTTTAAACCTGCATCTGCATTGCCCTATTGGCGTAAATGACATGCACACAAATGCGCAATCTGTGAGTATGTGTGGTAAAGGAGGGTAAAGGGTGTAAAGGAGTGATCACTTGTCAATCAACATGCATTGAAGGAAAGGGAAGGAAATAAACATTTATATAGTATCTACTTGTGCCAGGCGCTGTACCTACTATGTGCAGGCACCATGCCTACAATGTGCCATTTATTTAGCACCTACTATGTGCCGGTCACTGTGCCTACTGCATGCCATTATATAGTACCTACTTATGTGCCCAGTACCATGCTGGGCAAAAGGAATATAAATACAAAGAATAAAATTATCTGTACTTCAAGGGGCTTATATTCTATTAAGGGAGACAGTGTGTGTACACAGAATAAATACCACATAAAGAGAAGGTAGTTTAGGGAGGGAGGGAAGGTACTAACAGTTTAAGGGATCAAGGAAAGACTTCACGTGGAAGAGGGGCTCTCAACTTCTTTTAGCTCACGGTCACCTTGGGCAGTCTGGTGCAGCCTGTGGACCTCTTCTTAGAACAATGTTTTTAAATGTAGAACAGAAAAGAAATAGGATTATAGAAGAAACCCGTTACATTGAAATAGTTGTCAAAATATTTTGAAAAATTCAAGTTCATGTATCCCAGGTTGAAAACTCCTGTTTGAACTACGTTTTGAAGGAGTAGAGGGTTTCTTTGAGGAGGGGATGAGGAGGGAGTGTATTTAAGGTATGAGACGACCAGTGCAGAAGTGCATAATGTGTGAGGAATGGCGGGCAGGCCAGCTTGGCTGGATTGTAGACTACCAGAAGTGGGGAGTAATGTATTATGAGTCGGGAAAGACGGGTTGTGAAGGGTTTTAGAGGCTAAGCAGAGTTTATATTTGATCATAGAGCAGTTTATTAAAGAGGAGAGTGAATATAGTCAGGACAGAACTAAGGGAAAGCACTTTGGCAGCTGTTTGGAGTCTGTAGGGTAGAGAGAGATTTGAGGTGGGAAGAACAGTTAGGAGGCCATTGAAATCACTGAGGCAGAGAAGAGAAGTAAGGCAGGCATGGCAACATTCTGCAACTCATTAGATATGTAGAACAAGCACGAGTGAGGAAACCAGGCCACAGACCTGGGAGACTCTCAGGGTGATCCCCATTTCTATGAAAAACAAGTTTGGAAGAAGACTAGATTTTTTGAGAAATATAGTAGGTTCTGTTTTGGACAAGTTAGGTTTGAAGTGCTTCTGGGACATCTGGCTTGAAATGTAGAGTTAGTAGTTCCTGATGTTGGACTGAAGGTTGGGGGAGAGATTGGGGCTAAATGTATAGATCTGTGAGTGATCTTCATAGAAATGATAAGTAAACCAATGGAAACTGATGAGTTCACCAAGAAAAAAAGTATAGAGAGAGAAAAGAAGAAGGAAGGATTTGTGAAGGAATGAGAAGCAGAGATCTGGACCCTAAAGGCAGTGTGAGATTTCAACAAGTGAGGATATGATCAATGTGTTCCTGGTATGGGAGTCATCTGCATGGAATAACTATGAGTAATCAGTGTTGCTGGTACGTGGAGTATATGAAGAGGGAGAGGGTTGTCAGGTGGGTTTGGAAAGTTAGATTGGAGCTTTGTAGTTCAGGACTTAAAAGCCAACCTGAAGAGAGTTTACCTTTGGTAGGAGGAACTCACGGAAGGTTCCTTATTAGGGAAATGTCATACGAAGATCTTGACTTTCCTGGAAAATTTATTTGGGCAATTGTGTGATATAGAAGGGTAAGAGATTAGAGACGTGTTACTTTAGTTCATGATAAGGGCGTGGACTAGGGAGGAAGGTGGCAGAGGAGAAGCTAAGTGAGAGGAGAGGCCAGGTGTGAGAGAGATTTCAGAAGTAGAGTTGGTGGCTGCTACTTGCTCACCTCCTCAGCTGGTGGAGTTAGAAATTCAGGTTGGAGTCAGAATTCTGTGGAGTGGTTGCTGTCAGCATGAAATGCCCAAATTGGGTATCCAGCCCCAGGCTTCAAAGCTGCAGTTGCCATGTCAGATGAGCAGTTCAAAGACATCAGCCTTTCTAGCTGCAAAGCGAAATACATTTCACTTGGAGGTCTTTTCATCATCGATGAGAAGAGGATCCTTTGCAGATCACCTTCCTGTGGGCCTCTCTGTAGATAAGAAGCTGAGATGAGTACTGACCTTTCAGCTTGTAGAAAAGCATAGTGAAGTGTGCCCAGCTTGAAGCTGTATATCTAGAGGAGTAAGGAATATTTCCCCAAGCAGAAGTGAGCTGCTTTCTGCTAGGCACCTTGAGGAGCCTGACCTAGCTTGTTGCCTTGATGTGCAGAAAAACAAACAAATACTCACTACCTCCACAATGCTCTTAAACACCAAGACCCTAATTAGTAGCCTGGGCCAAGACATTGTAATGTGGTTCTCAAGCAGCCTAGCAGCTGGATTAGGAATGCTGTGTCTTCTCCCTCTCCCCCTCTAATGACCAAGTAGTATATTAACAAGGTTTGTACCATAGTTGGGTCTTGAGTCGCAAGAACATTTGACATTTTTGTAGCTCGATTAAACTAGTCCTTATTAAGACTTAGTGGATGTGGTTTGGAAGAAAAAAAAGAAGAATTAAAGATAACTGTGGTTTTAAGCCTGGGTGATTTGGAGGATGGTGGTGCCAATAGTGGAAATCCAGAAGCTGGGAAGGAAGAAAGGTTTTTTTCATGGTGAGATAGAAATTCAGTCAGATATTTTGAGATACCAGTATGATATCACCAGGTAGAGATTTCCAAGCATTTTGGTATGCACCATAGCTCAGGAAAGAGATTAAAAATGGATAGATAGATTTGATAGCTGCAGAAAAGGGATATAATTAAAGCCATCAGAGTATTGAGAAAAGGTGACTGAGGACAGAGCCTTGGGAACAACCCTACATTTACTGGCAAGGAGAGAGTGGTATGATGAACCAGAGTAGGGCTGCAAAGCAGAGGCGTGATCAGACAAAAAGAGAGGAGCCATGAACACTGGCCTGGAAGCTGGGGAAAGAAAGAAGGTGAGGATGTTCAGGAATTTGGCCTGCAAAAAGACCAAAGCAGTTTGGCAGATAAAATGTCATTGATGAACTCGAAGAGAGTGCTTTGAATGAAGGCCAGATTTGCATGAGGTTGAGGTGGTGAGGAAGTTGAGGCACTGAGTGTTAGCCTACTCTTCCTGCACGTTTAACCATTAATAGGAAGAGAGAAGATATAGAATGCTAGCCTTTGGGGATGACAGGACCTGACCATATTCACAAGCAGTAGGGAAAGAACCATTAAAGAGGGATACATTGAAGATGAGAGAGGGTATTGTAGTGGTACAAGGTCAAGGGTACAAGTATCTTCAGATAGGTGAGCTACCTCATCCTTAGAGGATGGGTGAGGACTTAGAGATTTTTCAGTTTTTATTGATTGAAGATAATGAACTTAACACTGGATGGCCTCAATCTTTTCAGTAAAGTAGAGTTATCTATTGAGAGAGAGAGGAGACCATAGTGGTAATTTTGATGACTTAAGGAGAGAGGAGGAGGAGGTTTAAAACACCTTGATTCAGTTAGAATTGAATGGAAGGATTGCTAGGTAGTGTGTGCCCATTTGTTACCAAATTGATATTCATAATTTCACAGAGCTTATGACATTATCTCCCTGTTAACTTTCAGTGGCTACCCAATGCCTAACAAACAAACCAACAGTATGACTTTCAAGCCTTTCTGTAAACTAACTCCACCCTTCCTTTGCAATCATGTTTCACATGTTTGTTTTTTTTTTTTTTCATATTCCCTATGCTTCAGCCCAGCCATGTGACTTGTTTGAGTTGGGTTTTGAATGTGGGGAAGGAGATAGTTTGGCAGATGGGAGGTGGGAGATTATAAAATACGTGTTAAAGAGAAGTCATTAAGTCTGGAAAAAAAGAAGAAAGAAACTAAAAACAAATTTCCTTAACTCAAAGAAAGAGACCGGGCAGAATAGGAGGACATGGGAGTCATGTGCTGTAGGTGGGAACAGACCAGCAGTGAACATCAAATTGTTTAAAAGAATACCTTACATTCAGGGTAAAACATGCTGCTTGGGTGGTAGACTCAGAGTGCAGATTGAGAAACATTTTTTTGGGCCTAACCAATAACGGAATTTGTTTTGTTTGACTGTATATGTTTGTAAAGAGGGGTTTTTGTTTTGGAGATGGGAGGGTGAGAAAAGGCAGATCTTTGAAAATAAAATGAAGTTTAATTAAAAAAATTGAAAAATATCTTGTGCTTGTGTAAATTTTTAAAATCAGTTTTGAAGTATTTCAAACCATATTATCTCTCCTGGTCCTCCCAATAACCATGAGAGATGGGCAGGACAAGTAACATTATTTCCATTTTATAGGTAGTATAAAACTGAGATTGGAGAAATCATGACTTTCTTAAGTTTATTCACTGGTATGTAATGAGTCAGGATTAGAACACATTTCTCCTAACCTTTAGGACCCTTCTTTAAATATGACATTACCAGTCTTATTTAAATCAACCTACATGGAAAAAAGAGGAAATGTACTTTGTACTTTTTTTAAAATGTGGGGGACTGTGGTTATGGAATGGTGCATATACTGACAGTTGTTTAGTAGGATCAGTTTTGCTTAAATTTTCTTTGTTCCAAAGGGAGTTTCGTTTGGATATATTGATAAATGAGTCTGATCTGAGGTAAAATAAATAAGTTATTGATTGTGGAAGGAAGCGAACAGGCATGGTAGAGTGGTGGGCTTTTTTTTTTTTTAATTGTCTTGTAGCTGCCACTTGAAGAAATGAAGAGGAAAGTGCCAACTCTAATCCTTCCCTTGTCCTCTGCTGATTTTCTTTTTTGTTCCCCTTAAGAGGCTTCACAATGAATAGAAGGGGAATGAGAACCTTGGTTTTGTTTTCACTTTTTTCTTTACTGTATCATTTTTTATAGATGCTGCTGTCTACAAGGCAAGTGAGGACTCTGTTGCCAGAGGAGATGGTAGGAACTTTTGCAACACTTTTCCCCCATCTTGATAGAGAAGACTTTTATGAGAGATTTATGTTGAAGATTAAGACTTATGTGAAGTTAATAATTTTCTTTGTTACTTATAACAACTACTTACACAACTACTGTTTTGTGGAATGTAGTATAGATTATAGGTAGTATCAATCATGTACAGAAGAAATCCTTTTCCCTTCTTTTTAGGCCTAGACTTTCTCCCACAGTTAAATGCAGTGTTTCCAACAAGAAAACAACCATCGAGTACAAACATGCCAGGATCACATCATAGCTCTCTTCATGTCTCAATGGAATCCCCACTTACAGAAGAGAATGAAAGTCAAGATATCGCAACTGAGAGTAAGAAGATGCAGCCGGGAAAACAGGAATCAAGGGAACCCTTAAAACAGGTACCTTTGCAGGAGAATTTCCATCAGGTTGTTGTTGTTTTTTTTTTTTTTTTGGTAATGTATTTTAATACTTAACCAGATTCGTGATTTTATAGGTTTGGCTAATGCTCTCTTAATGCAGTTTAAGATGTTTTTGCACCTTTAGTCTTCATGAGTTTCGTTGGCCAAGGAGATTCAACACCTGCTGGCCCACCTCTAGTGCTGAATTAGCAAGGCTGACTCTCAGCTAGCAGGCATATGGTCTATCTCTGGGTCTGTCTCCAAGCTTTTTGTGCTTTGTAAAACCTGACAGAATTTATGGACCAGTGATATGGACCAGTGATTCAGGAGTTCAGTCACCTCCACTGCACCATGAGGAATTGGAGTATGACCTGAATGGAGGACAGTGCACTTTGTTGTTAGAAGGCTGTTGGAAATTGTATTGTTGGTGCAATAGAGGCATACTTGCTGGGTCATGTGGGGCAGGCCTCAGTAAATACGTGGTAAAGACCCATTTTTAGATGTTTCTTAAGAATCTGAAGCTGACCTTTAGTGCATTTGGAATAACTGAAGGAATTAGACATGGTTTTAAAAATAGTCTTCAATAATTTTAAAGTAACACTCGATGTTACTTAGTGTAAGACTGGAGGTTAATAGTAATCTAGTGTGTGATAAACCCAAAGATCCAAGCTTTTGGTACAAAAATTTATTATTTGACAAAAAGTACTAGGAAAATCAGAAAACAGTATGGCAGAAACTGGGTATAGACCAACATCTCATACCATATACTAAGATAAGGTCAAAATGGGTAATGATTTACATGTAAAGGGTTTCACCGTAAGCAAATTAGAAGAGTATGGAATAGCTTACCCATCAGATCTATTGATAAGGGAAGAATTTAGGATCAAACAAGATATGGAGAGCATTACAAAATGTACAGTGGATGATTTTGATTATATGACGTTAAAAAATTTTTGCGTAAAGCCAATGAACCAAAATTAGAAGGAAAGCAAAAAATTGTGAAGAAAATTTTTGTAGCAAATATCTGATAAAGGCCTCATTTCTAAAATATGTAGAGAACTGAATCAAATTTAGAAGAATACAAATCATTCCCCAGTTGATAAACGGTCACAGAATATGAACAGGCAGTTTTCAGACGAAAAAAATCAAAGCTATCTATAGTCATATGAAAAAATGCTCTAAATCACTATCGATTAGAGAAATGCAAATTAAAACAACTCTGAAGTACCACCTCACAGTTTTCAGATGGGCTAAATTTTCTTTATTCCTTTATAAACAAGATGCTTTATAAGTGGATTTCAGATCACTCTGCACCCCTATTCACCTGGAACTTATATCCATTGGAATGTAAAATTCTAAGTAATTTAAATAATTTAGACTAAGCTATGTAGCAAATCAGTGGCACTAAGACTAGAATTTAGCCTACTTGACAAATCATTTTATTTTCTACAAAAACTTTCTTCTTCATGAGAGGTGGCACTAGTAAAAACATTATGCAGAAAGGCCAATGAGTTATAGATAAATAGTCACACAATAGAATATGATTTTTATTCATGTTAAGAGCACCATTGGTAGTCTCAAGCTGTACTGAATGTGTTAAAGCAGATTATTAAAATATTTCATTAGTGTAATTTTTTTTAATATCATAGCCATTTTCCAATAGTTATTTCAATGATATCTGCCATGGTAACTTTCTTCTAACAATAACAAAACCAACAAAAAACAAAGCTTTATAAAACTGTCAGGGACTGCCATGGATAGAATAGGTATCATTCTGTACCTGTCATCCACTGCTTCTTTCCTGAGAGGAAGGAAGCAATCAATATACATGTTGTTCAAGAAGAATGAAAGTGCTGTTTAAACTGCTTAACAGATATTTATGGTATGAGTCAAACCTACACCTTTTTTCTCACAAGGAATCCTATTTTGCCAGATAATATTTCTATTGAAAATGGTATTTAGGAATAAATGTTCCGGATGATTGGATTTTTCTTTATTAGGCTGTCAAAAACAGTCTGTTTTTGTGTTTGTTGAGGAGGTCAGTGAGCCTAGTTCAGACATTTTAGGAAGATTTATCTTAATAATTGGCCCAAATACTACTTTTTTTCTGACTTTTTTCCACTTCCAAAAAGAAGATAAAAATCTGTTGACCTAGATTAATATATTTTTAAAAACTGGAAGCTACAAATATATTGCTAAAATGAGTTGTTATTATAAATTTGAAGCTTGCCAAGTTCATCTCCTCTGGTGCTGAATCTGGAAATCTGAGTACCTCCTCAACCTCTAATGCAACGAGAAGTCCTGAGAAAACAGAAAGGCCAGAGAGAGAAATTCAAGGCCATTTGACACACGAGTCCCCAATCAGTGGAACTACCATAGCTAGTAAGTGCATAAAACTGCTTGTTGATGTCTTCTTTATGTGTACATGGATTCAAAAATTTTAGAAATGTAACTTGAAAAATTTAAATAAATACAGTAGAGAGCACTGAGTTTGGAAAAGAGGTTTGGGACATGTAGTATTTAGTTTTTTTCCTATTCTCTCTTTTTAAGAATACATTTTTATTTATTTAAATATTTCCCAAGTACGTATTTAGGTTTAGTTCACATGTCCAAGGTGACTTTGTTTTCAGTTTTTGGAAGAATTCAGAAGGAAATTATCATTGTATATGAATCAGCAAATATAGCTGTACTATTTCATTACATTTTCCAGGATCCAACACCTTCTGTAAGGTGATTCTCATGCACTGGAGCCTTTTTTCAGATATGACTCATTGTTGCTTGACTAGGTAACCCTTGTAATCTTAGAGTTCATAATAGTAAAGGGAAGGGAAGGGAGGGGGATGCTAGCCATTGTGAGAAATGTACATTGGACTGTAGGAAAGCAGCCTTTGAAGAGCTAAGAAAAGTGATTGGTGTCACACCACCACCAGAGACTGCGAAAGGAAAAGGGATGGACAATTTCATGTTTAAAAATTACCAAAAAATATCCAGTGATCAAATTACCAAAAATTTTACATAATCACGATGTGAAATTCCAGTAATAGACGAAGGAATGACCCTGTGGGTAAGAAAGAGACAAGACTGCAAAGAAGCCGCCATGACTGCATGGAACATCCTCCAGTGGGCTCAGATTTTAGGAGGACCTGTTCAGCCGCCGGCAGAGGAGACGTGTAACCAATGACTAGTGCAGCTGATGTGGACCTGCAAGGTCTGTGTCAGAAAAGCTAACGCCTGCAGTGATCTGACTCTGGTGAAAGGCACAAAGGGCATCACAGGGCTTTGGAAAGCAATCAGAACAAGGAGGGAAGAGGATCACTGTTGAGGATAATAGTTTCATGTTAACAGATGACAGAAAAGGCAGAGCTGGGCGGCTCCTAGTTTTCATTTATCCTCTCCAGGAGAAGGACAGACTGGAAAGAGCAGGACAGACACATAAGAGAGAGTCAGTCCAAGATAGGCAAGATGCTAATCTTCATCATAATGACTCATGTTTGAAGAGTGCCACGGTCACCTCATTTGATCCTCACAACAATGCTGTGAGGCAGAGGCTCTTTTTATCATCTCCATTTTACAAATGAAGAAATTGAAGCTGAGGGAGGTTAAGTGACTTGGCTCGGAGTCCTCTAGTAAATGGGTCTTCCTGATTCCAGGTCCTCTTATTTACTGATCTACTTACTTACCTAGATGAGAAGAGCACATAGCTGCTTGAAATAATTTCATCTCAGAGAAATAAAATGTTGAAAGGAGGAAGATATTTTCCCCAAATATGTTATTTCGTGATTTTTACTAGATGAATTGTGAAGGTTACAAGGGGAGATAGTGTTTGCTAGAAGCTGTCTTGCGCTCATTAGTGACAGGTAGTGACGTCAATGGGAAGGGAAGGCAAAACACTCTGAAGGATGCTATCCTTTGTCCAGAGGCTGGAGGAGGCAGTGTGGGAAAAACTCTGGCTCTGGCATCAGAACAGCTGGATTCCAATTGCACCTTTGACACTTTCCCGCCTTGAGACTTTGAGCAAGGTCCTTCACATTCCGGGACCTCAGTAGCATCTGAGTCATAAAATGAGGGTGTTGCAGTAGATGGCCTTGGGGGTCTAGTTCTTGATCTTTGGTCCTACGAAGATGGAAGAATGGGACACAGGCTAGGAAGGGGCGAAAAAGTACAACGGACAGTCCTTGGAGATGAAGAATCGATTAGGAAGTTCTTCCTAGAGAGGACAGAGCTCACCTCACTGAGCAAAGAACAGATTCTTCTACTGCAAGGAATGATGATTGATAACCCCCAGGCACCACCTTAAGCTCATGACCATAAGGAGACACAAGTCACGGTTACTGAAAGTGACCATGTGTTGATCTGACCTTAACAACAGTGAGGCATTTTGTCTTCCTGAGGTAGATTCAGAAGAGAAAAGCTAAATTTGGGAAGTGAGCAGCTGAAGGACTTGGTTATTGACCACAGCTAAATAGAATGTGAGTGATGGACTTTTATCTGGGGATGCACTGTATCTAAAAAGGGCCATTAAAATATGTATTTGCGAGAAGATTCATAAAATCAAAAAGAGAACCTTAAATAGACAATGGAGGAAATAAGAAAAAACAAAACTATCCACATGGTAGCTGCTAAGCCGGATAACTGTAGAGAGTAGCAAGTATGGCATGGGAAAAATATCAGTAGAAAGAATGAGTAATAGACAGTAGTCAGTATTTATCAGAAAAGGCAGAAATAGCCTGACACACAGCAGTTAATGATACATAGAAGGAGAGTTGGTCTTGGAATTAGAATCACATAGCCAGAGGTTTTGAATGCATAGGCATGAATTATTCCATTGAGAAAAGGAGTACTCAGTCTAGAGACCATTGAGGATAGAGGGAATTTGTTGTCCAGCTCCAGATTTTAAAAAGGTAGAAGATAGAAGGGCAGTAAGTTAAGAACAAATATAAAAGATGCACATTCATGTAAGATAATGCAAATCTTTGGGTGAAGTGGGGCTGGAGGTGAATGCTAAGAACAACAATAAAAACGATCTTTTTTATGGCAGAGATAAGACCACCTCTCAGGGGATAGGATAGTGAAAGTGATTGATATCAAGAAGATGGAACTGGTCACCTCTTGCTAATTTCAATTCCTACAAGAGCAGTCTTTGTATTGGGAAGGATAAAAGATGTTGAACAGGGAAATGAGACATAAATAAAAGAGGAAAATTAGAGAACGCTTAGCTATCCTTAATGAGTACAACAAACTACAGCCCTGAGTTCTGAAAGAATAGGAAGATATAATCGCTATGCTGTTACCAGTGGAGAATGGGAAATCTGTCACGATACTTGACAAATTTCCTAGTTTTCCAAAAAGGGCAGAGAATGGAGTTCAATTCCTGGAATTCCTTAACGTATTGTTAAAGATCTTCTCAGCCTGAGTTCTGTAAACTTGTTTTCTGTGTCTGTGTGAGTATATATATATTTATACATGTGTAAATGTATGTGTACACATTTATGTATGTGTGTGTGTGTGTATATATATATATGTATATACTTTCTTTGTAATCTTTGTATTTTATTTTATACATTTAAAACATTATTCTGATGAGTCCATAGGCTTTACTGGACTGCCAAAGCAGGTCCATTACACAAAAAGATTAAGAAGCCCTGATTAAGAGATAGACTGTGACCTTTTAGAAAGGAAAGTGTTTCTGGTTGTTTTGTTTTGTTTTTTTATTCCTAAGATCCCACAAAGCTTCATCAGGGTCATAATACTAACTTCATTTCTGCTCTTGATAGGATTACTAGTCTAATAGATCAGGGGAATGCCATAACTCTGGTATGCCCATATTTCAGTAAACCATTTGACAGGCTCCAATGCCATCCTTCAGGATAACGTAGAAAAATACAGGCCAGGCAACGGTACAATATTCTCAACTGGTTGAATTACCACCCCACAGAGTGGTTATTAATAGGCCTTTAGCCTGCAGGCAGGTCTCTAGCAGAGTGGTCCAAGGACCTATCCTGGGCTGTAAGCTTGAACTTCAGCGTGTTTATGAGGACCTTGAAAACTGTCACAAATACCAGATTTGCAGAAGACACAATGCAGGGAGGGGAGGGATCATTAACATGTGTAAGACAGTCAAATTCCAAAAAGAACTTAACAGACTGGAACAATGGGCTATATCTAATAAGATGAGATTTATTAGGGATAATTGTCTAGTCTTCCCCTGGGATTGAGGAATTTCCTGCACAAGTGGGAGGTATGGCTATGTACCAGTTTGTGTGGAAACAAATTAGGATGTTTAGTGGACTGTAACCTGTGTGTGAGACAGGGGCATGATTTGGCAGCTTCTTAAATGGCATGGTGGCCACACAGAAGGAGGGGATAATCCTTCTTTATTCTTCCAAGGTCTAGATCAGCTGGAGAGTGTCCAGAGAGGTGCTTCCAGGATGGTGAGAGGAATAGAAATCATGTCACAAAAGGATCAGTAGAAGGGATTGGGAAAGTTACGTCTGTTCTCCAGGCCAGGGTGGGACATGATAGATGTCTTCAAGTATTTAAAGGATTTTCTGGTGGAAAGGGGATTCTATTTATTCTGCTTGGCAGAAGGTAAAGCTGGTATCAGTGGGTGGGAATTATAGAGTCTTTTGATGAGAAAGTTGAACTTTCTAACAATTAGCAATAGCCAGACATGGAATGAAGTGTCTCAGGAAGAGGTATTGAGTAGGTTTCTCTTCACCCGAGGTTTTCAAATACAGATTGGTTCATGAGTCATCAGGGGTGTTGTAAATGGGCCTTCCTTCAGGGGAGGGCCTTCCAGTTCTGAGATTTTATGAATCTTTGAAGTGGAAATGTTGAGTCTAGAAAAGGGAAAACTTGGAGTGCAGTGATAGCAGCCTGCAGACATAGGAGTCATTGGTAAATGCTAGTTGACTGGCTTACTAGTTGTATAAAAAGTAAAATTTACTCTTTATGGCACAAGAATAGTTTAAAGTTTTAGGGAGGTAAATTTGGGCTCATTAAACAAACAATAACCAAAACCTTTTCTAAAAATTAGAATTATTTAAAATGGAATGAGATGCTTTGTGAGAGTGCCTATTACTGCTGATCAGGGATGTCACAGAGGAGGTTCTTGTGTGGATAAGAGGTTTGACTAGATAATATCAAAGGTCAATTCCAGCCCAAGATTCTACAATTTTAGGTATAACACAAATCTGGCTTGAATCCTTCCAAGGATTCAGGCCACCAGATTTAGCCACCAGATGTTGCTTCATGATTAGATGGTTTTTTACAACATTTTAGTGCTCACTCTTAGGACTTCTGACATACATCTATCTGTAACAGTTCTCTGAAGAAGGGAAATTTTGACATTTAAATCTTTGAACAGAAAAACATACAGTTCAATCACATTTAAAGATGTTAACAAAAATGTTAGCTAAACATTGAACTGTCGCTTAGCATTAGACTGTATTTACTATGACTAAATACGAGGTTCCTCTGTATTTTAACTTTTATTCATCTTCTTTCTGGATGTTGGTCTAATATTTCAAGAGCATTTTTAGCCAGTTATCTCTTAGCAGTACTTATCTTTACTCGTGTGTTCTCTTATTGTTGAACTATAACCAACTTGTGATGTTTGTTTTATGTAAGATAGAGAAATAGTTTATAGAAATTTTAAGATGAATCCCCTTGTCATGTGTTATCACATTAGTCCGTTGACAGTTTATAAATACAGATAAATGACTGTGAGAAAGAAACATAATAGAAAGTTCCTGGGATCTATTTTAGAGACATTTTCCCTCCTAAATGTAATAGAAACTTAGTTCTTTTCCCCAGTTTTTCCACCATTTACTTCCCAGGTATTTTGTTTTTTAGAAATGTCTGATTGTTTTTCATCTATTTTAGATCCAAAGATAATGTCCTCTGTTACTTCTGGAGTTGCCAATTCGCTTTCAGAAAAAATAGCAGATACCATTGGAAACAATATATCACACATACCGCTGACATCTGTTCAAATCCATTTTATCCAGAACATGATACAGGACACACTGGATGACTTTAGGTATTACTTAATAAAATTATTTTCCCCCTATTCTTGACTTGTTTTTTGTTTGTTTTCTTGTTTGTAGCACAAGCAAATAAAAACTAAAATGCAGTGACTAGTACTTTGAAGTTTCTGCTTCCAGTCCTGAAGTAAAAAACTAGACTTCTTTTTCAGTAAGACTTTAGCAAAAATGTAGTGGATTATGATGTTGACCTCAGTCTGTTGCATTTACTGATTATCCTGCAGTGAAAGGCTCATTCATTCAGGGCAACCTGGCAGCTGCAGTTCAGCAGGCAAGCTGTCAGTTTAGAAGCTTTTGTTAACAAAATAATGTTGCTGAAATTCGAAAAACAGAAAGCGTATAGTTTTTGGTTTTCCCTTATACAAGGTCCCTTAAATATAAGACTTTACAGATCATCTGTCAAATGTGCCACTTATTTATACAGTGGAGAAATACATTTTAAAAAGCAATTATGAGACATGTGTTCTATGAATAGAACACATCTGCTTGTGGCTTTTTTTGGGTGACTTTTGTTGGTCCCTAGCCTTTTAATTCTCAGCCTTTCCGCAAGCTGCTAGAAAGTTGAGAAAGTAATTTGTTAAAAGTGGTGCTACGTCAGTGTCTTCCCTCAAGTATTTGAAATGGTTTAATTACTGGGTTGGTTGCCTTTTTTTAAAAGTCCTACACAGCTATTTAACACCTCTCATAGTCCATGATGGATTATTATTGGCAGGGTATTTATAGAAAGCTGGTAGTCCTTTGTTGAGATGTATTGTTTTAAGAACATTTATAATGGATATATGAGCATTCTGAAAGAAAAAGATGAGAAGTCTATAGATCTTAAATATTGCTACAAAGGGAAGGGGAGGGGAAAGGTGACATTTGGGTAGCCAGGAGGTTGTAAGAGCTAACAGGATAAAAACAAAAGGCTACCTTGAGTTTATAATCTTCTTCTCTATTAACCCTGGGGCAAGTGAAACCTCACATAGAGCTGCCTGGAGACTTCTTTGTTTCCTTCAAAACTCTGCTTAAGTGAGTTCTTTTACGTGAAATCTTTTCTGATTCCTCCAACTGCTAGTGTTTTCACTACCCCCCAAAAGAAAATGTGACTTTGTAGTTATTTTGAATGTATTTTCCTATATTTATGTATATACACATATTCTCTTGTGATGGAATGTAAGCTTCTTGAGGGTAGGGACTGTTTCCTTTATGAAGAGTGCCAGGCACTGTGCTTAGATCCTGAGAAAGGCAAAAAACATTTATTGTCATTGTGTCACCAAATACATGTTGATCGGTCAGCCTAAAGTTTGTTTTTTGTTTAAACATAAATTTCTAAGGCTAACAATTTCCCTTTATTTATAGTTATTGGTCAGTTGCTTTTTTATTTAAAAAAAAAAAAAAACTAGTTCAAATTCAGTAATGTTTTCCTTTGCATTAGTACTGGATAATTAAGTGTACATTCTTTCCCCTTCCCCCTTCCCTCCCTCACCATCCTGCCTTGGGCAAAGGATCCAAGTGATATTAAATTACGTACTCGGCACATTTTGTTGATAGTGAAGGACTCTTAGAGGTCATCTCTCTAGTCCAGAATTTCCTGAAGTAGATGCTCTAAGTCAAATGACTGTCATGACATTTTCTAAAATCATCTGTGATGCCAGGAACAGTGGTGATGGGAATGGTATTGGTGCAATTAGAACATCTGAGAACCATTGACATAGTTGAGATGTCCTGTGGACACTGCAAATGCTGTAATGAGCTTTAACAGCCTTCTAGTTGTAGTTTATATATTCTTAATATATCTAGCAGAAATTCCACTTTTAGCTCATTCTACCACAGTAGACTTCGCCATCAGTTGATTGGTTTATAGCATTTTCTTTTACAGTCTTCTGCCCAAAAAATAATTTAACTCAATTCCTTTGACACTGATATCCATTTTCCTGAGCCCCCTCATTTCTACCTTTGTGCTTTCACCTTTTTTATAATTGTGAGTGGGCAGCCCTGTTAATTGAAAAACAAACTATGAAGATTTTAACTTGTTGAAATTAAGTAACTTAAAGCAGTTAATCTTACCTACTTTTAATGATATGTACTATTGTTAGTGTGCTGCATGGAAATTAAATGTAAGTATAAGCCATTCATATAATTGAAAATAATTATTTTAATTTTTATACAACAGAAGTATCTCTGCGGTTGTAATATGTGGCATCAATTCACCCTTCCAGTTTCTTAGAGCCAGGTGTTAATTTTTTTTTTGTTTTGAGCCTGAAGGGAAACATAAGAGGCAGTTTTGGGATGTGGGGAAAGATGGCATCTGTAGCGTGGTAGCAGTGTGGGGTTTTGCTCAGAGAAGAAACATAAATGTGCAGTGAGGCCTTGAGTGGTAGGAAGGAAGGAAGGAATTGTAGGAGAGAGGAGAATTTTTGCTTTGATTCAGTGTGAAGTGGTTTTCAGCTAACTCTTGTCAGGTTCTTCCCCACATGCCTTCAGTTGACTGTGCTTGGGTTATGAGATGATGAGCAAGTCTCAGTCATCTCTCTCTCTCCTCTTTGGTTTAAGAAATATAAATAAAAACTGATTCAGAAACAACTCAGTAGAAACTCTGTCCTCTCCATTTCCACCAGCTGAATTCCTACTTAATCTGATTACTCTAAGCAGAAATTATTTTTTCCCTTCTCAGAATCCCCTGTTAACACTATGTTGCTTTCTTATGGCGTTTGTCGTATGGCATGTGTTCAAACCTCATATTCTAACACTGTCTGTCTCTGCCCCTCTCTCACAGTCATATACATGTACTCACACACATATACTCACATACACATGATTTCAACCAATCCTCTTGAGGGCAGGGACTAGGGCTGTGTTCTTATTTGTATTTACTTGGCATAGTAATTCCATACAGTACCTTGCATTTAATAGGCGTTCTACAAGTATTTGTTAAATGAATCTTTATGGAATATAATTCTAAAATATAGAGATACACAGGCCAAATTAGGTGAGGTTTATGGCTCCGGTTTATTATCTGAACTTGGGCCACTGGGTAAATGAACATAGATCTATAGTTAGACATGTGTAGAATTTTCCCAGTGGTGATTTGTACTGAGAACTCTACCACAGGGGAGTCTAAAGTCTGCTTTGTGGAATACTTCCAAAAGCATTTCTTCTCCTGACTGTTGCCCCTCCCCACCATTATACCAGAGATCATACATTTTTTTGAACCAACTCATTGACAATCCTGTAGGAATTAATACAGTGAAATGCCCTTGAACCAAAAGTAGATACCATGAAAAATGGCATGAAGAAAAGAAGTTGGTAGATAACTTTTTAAGATATGATGGATTGACTTTCCTGTGTTATGATGTTCTTTGTTCTTGTTTTCCTAGGGAAGCATGTCATCGTGACATTGTAAATTTGCAAGTGGAGATGATTAAACAATTCCATATGCAATTGGTATGTACTGCAAGTGGTGTATAAAAATGTACTCTGAGCAGCTGGAAAGTTAGCAAGTCTATCGAGAGGGCATCTCGAGCTATTTTTTACTTAACTGTTAAATCTAGTTGCTAAGCTATCTAAATAAGGAATAATAGGAGTGGAGTGAATAAATGGGTTTTAATTAACCAATTATATTTTTTAACTGTATATGTGGGATGAAAGAAATGAATATGGGATCCTAGTTAAATAAGTCTGTTTTTTTTTACATGTTCATCCTTTAGAAGGTTATGCACACAAAAGCTCCTAGATTTATAAGAATCCCAGCAGTTTCAATTGCATTTCTTTTAACATGATGTACAAAGGGTAACTTGAATATAGGAGAAGAGCTCTTATTAGCCATTTGAAAGAGGGGATCATAATGGGAAAAATTATCAACCGAAAGGGCAGATTGCCAAATCAAGTTTCACTATTGATTTTGTTCCCTCCTAGAATGAAATGCACTCCTTACTTGAAAGGTACTCAGTCAATGAAAGTTTAGTAGCTGAAATTGAGAGACTACGAGAAGAGAACAAAAAACTTCGGACCAATTTTTAAAAGTTTTACTTGGAAACGTTGGTTTTGTCATTTAGAATGGCCTTGGCGGCACAGAAATATTGACTCAGTGTTGTTTTGTGATTTCTGAAGAGTCGTGAGTTGTTTTTTTTTTATACAAACTGTAGATTATCGATCACCACTACATCTCAACTGACTGCTCTTAAAAATTGTATTTTTGTGATGAAACTGTAAAAAATGCCTTTTGCATAATAGAAATGTCCATAGGATGTTTATTGTACTGAAACTTCAGTTGTATACACTAAGTGCCTCTTTTCATAAGAAAAAGAAATTTGCATAAAATTATATTTTATGTAGATTTTTCACAGATCTATTTTTAATTAACACATTGCCTTCCAGTTTTTTTGTCAGCTCAAATTTATAATTTTGGAATGTCTTGTTTTTCTGAAAGTCATTTTAATATGACAGTTGGAATTTTTAAGTAATTAGCTAATAAAATACAGGGTTGATTAGCAATTATTTCATTATTATGACAGAGCTAAACATGAGCATATTTATTATTCATTCTGTATGTTTTGAAAAACTAAAATTTTGGGATTGCATATTGAAACTATTGTGTTTGTTATAAGAGTATTATACTTAAAAAATAACCTACTATTGGTTTTTATAGGTCAAGTTACTTTGGTAAGTGAGCTATTTGAGATTTTTATAAAAATACTTTATTACTTTCTTTATTGGCATCATGTGAGTTAATGTGCTGAGTTATTTTGTGAAGGTTCAGTGAACATGATTAGACTTGTAATCAGTGCAGACTTCATGGTGAATACTTAGATGTTATTTCAACAACAGCAGGCAAGAATTTATTAAACACTGAATGTGTCCCGGGTACTGTGCTAGGTGGCAAGTGATGCGAAAACCAAAAAGAAATAACAGTCTTTACCTGTCCTCAAGGAGTTTACATTCTACTGGAACAATCTAATTTACTCTAAGTAAAGAGGAGACAAACGCTGAAAAATTCTCAATATATTTTTGTACAAGATAAAATTTTAGTAAGACTAAGAACAGGTACCACAGTGTTTCTTATCTAGAAAACACTGAATCTATTCAAAAGTTTAACAAAGTGTAGGTCTCTCATTTTTCTGTTTGTTATTTCCATGATTATATCCAAATGGCCACTACAATCAAATGTATGGTTTTCAAGTGAATCTCACACACACACACACACACACACACACACACACACACACACAAAGGCACTTAAAGACCATTCTTCATTAAGCAGTTTCTGAAGAGCTAAGTGGTGACAAACAGCATGGGAGGAAGTTAAGAGAAAAATACAGTATTATTCAAAACTCACAACTTGTCAGATAGCTGCTGAAAGTTGTTTTACATTACTATTGAATACGTTTTAGAAATAACTCAAAACCATTTCGTTAAATGCCCAAATGATTCAGGTTTTCATTAATATATAATAAGTTACATTTGAAGTATAATGAAAAGTACAAATTATAAAATTATAACATTGGTATTTAGAAAAACTTGAATAACTAAAGTGAAATCATACCTATAATGAATATATAAATTTGCAGTAAAGTTTCCTATATTTTGCTCCAAATATAAAAGGGTTTGTATTTTTAAAATTATTTTCTCTGTATCATTTTTTGGCAATTCATATTTGTGTGTGTAGAGTTTTTGTTTTACTGGCTTTGCAGCAGAAATCTTTGGCAGTTTTCAATGCCAAATAAATGCAGAGACTTTAACATAGGTACAGTGTATTCCTAGGCGCTCAAGCTACAATTTCATCAGTGTAAATGAGATTTGTAATTGCATTGGCTTAGCTCTTTGTTCCAAAGATTATAAACTATATACCTGATATGCAGTCCTCATTTTGAGTTTTTTAACTGAGTTGAAAATGATAGTCACTCAAAAAATAACATGAACATAGCTAATGAGCAATAGTTTAACAATATGACAGATGAATGTTAAATGACAAATATTTAATAAGTGTAAATGTCCTAATAACTACTTTATAAATAAAAATAAGGAATAGAGCATTGCTCTTTTTCTCAGTATGGTTTTTAAATATTAAAGAACAAAGGGATGTCAATGTAGTGACTTTTAGCCACAAAAAAGGTTTTACTGCATGCTGCAATATCATTTTACTAATGTAATCCTTCAAACAAGTAAGCAAAACTTACACATTAGTATAATATATCAGTGTACATTGCATAAATATGGCAGTCACTGTTCTTGAGGTTCCCTGATGACTTTTCCTCCAAATGCGAAAGATGTTTTAAATGCCTCGTGAGCGCACAGATAGGGAATGGAAGCCTGCTGTTAACCTGGTGCGCCTTGATCTAGAGCCTTACGTCCATCAAGTCACTTGATCCTTGGGAAAAGGGTCACGAAGGTTAAGTTGACTCGGCCTCTTATTTATTGCAAAGTATGATTGGACATTTTCTTTCTGTTGTCTGTATAGTGAAGGCCATGAGGGTCGCCACAGTACAGAGAGCACTGGGTATCGAGTTTAAGTCCGTCCTCTGACACTTAGTAGCTGGGCCAGTCACTTTACCTCCATCTGCCTCAGTTCCTCTGACACTTAGTAGCTGGGCCAGTCACTTCACCGCCATCTGCCTCAGTTCCTCTGACACTTAGTAGCTGGGCCAGTCACTTCACTGCCATCTACCTCAGTTTCCTCAACTGGAAAATGGGGATGATAATAATAACGCCTATCTCCCAGAGTTGTTGTGAGAATCAAATGAGATAATTATTTGTAAAGCACCTGGCATATGAATAGTTGGTCTGCACATTCTGCTGTCGTTGTTGTTGTTCTTGTTATAGTTGTAAATTACTAAAATATACTAGATGGCACTTTCCCACCAAACTCTAAATATTCTGCCCTTAAGGTGTATTAAGAAGTATTGATTTTAGAGATTGTTGTCACATAATTTCTATGCTTTGTAATTGGATACGTAAACACAAAAAGATGAAATGAGAGTATGGGCCGACAGTAACTTCCTTATTAGTTTCAAAATGAGCTTGTTGGTTGGGGTGGGGGAGGAGTTTTTTTTTTTTCTAATTCTTATATTTTGTTTTAGAGTAATTACAGAAAAACTGAAAATATTCTTTAAAACATGCATTATCTACTGCTTTGTGAAATGCGAATACTTTCTTTTAGAGCAAAATGTAAGTAGCCACTTTTCCTGAAAAACTACCCCAATGATAGAAGTATTGTATCTTCAAACACCTGACTTCAGCTAAAGAAGATTTCAGGGGCTGTCTGTATTTGTAGATTAACTTCTGTCTTTGTCAGATCCGATAATCACAGGATGGTGGAGTGTAGATCTGAAAGACACCTTTTGGATGATCCGGCCCAAACTCCTCATTTTACGGACAAGGAGACCGAGGCTCTGAGAGATCAAGGTCTTGATTCCTAGCCCTGGTCACCTCTCCAATAAGTCATGAGAGCACAGCTCTCCAATTCCATTCTTCTGCTTAGAAGTGAGCCAGATTGATGTTCAGGGAACAATGTTCTAGTCAATAGATACAAGGAATAGTCAGTTGGTAAGAGCTCTTGCAGCTATAAGTCATTGTTTTCATCAGTAATTATTAAAAGCCCTTCTGCGTGCATGCCCTGGAACGTGGCTGAGTGTCCGATGATCTGATCCTGGGGACGTTGTACTTTAAAGACGCCACGTGGATCTTTGGCGTAGCTTATTAACAGGTTGTTTAAAAAAAGCCTTGTAAGAACTTGAGCTTATCAAGCATTATCATGCCGAGGAAAGTCCATTCAAGAGGCACCTTCCATGGCAAAATGATCCGTTCAGCCGAACTTTGCTGTTAACTTAATGTTCAACTTCATTGGTAGGTAGAAAGCTCATGTTGTTTGCTGGAAGGAGCACTTGCTCTGGAGTCAGAGGGTCAGAATTCAAATCCTACCTGGAAACATAAGCCTAGGTGACCTTGGGCCTGTCTCTTAATGGTCCTGGGCCTCAGTTTCCTGATTTGGAAGGAAAGAGGGTTGGATTAAATGGCCTTTGCTGTCCCTGCTAGCTCTCGAGCTAAGATCCTGTGAATTCCTATAACTGACGTGTCATTTTGTCATAGGTCAAATGAGTTGTAGTTTACTGTATTCAGCATATGACAAGTAGGTGAATGACTGAGAGTTTTTACTTGAGACTGAAACATTGCCTTCTACCCAGCCATAAAAAGGGCATTTTTGAGCAGTAAGGTTTTGGGGGCACTCAGGTTCTCCTCTGATGCCTCCTCACAGGGTAGAGGTCACTGGGGATTCTAGAAGGCCAGGTTTTTAAAGGGCAAAACCCCCTGTCCATCAGTGGCAGCCACAGCTGGTGGTGGGCCCAAATGTTCCCCTCCTACCTAGAGGACTCTGCCTTGGCAATCTCCTGAGAACTCCTCGTAGAGTCATGTATTACCATTGAAGCTGTCCAAAGCCTTGAGCTAATTCTGAGCTTCCCCATAGTAGCGGAGAAAGCCCTGCCAGGGAAAGGCTGTTAGTTGCCAGGTAGCCAGTGGAGACAAATAGCCATGTTTAATTATTTTAGAAATGGAGAGACTAAGTTAAAAAGACAAAACGTGGATCACTGCATGTGAAATGTTGAATGGAGAATGAGAGGTAGAGTCTGGAGAATGTTGGCTCTAAGTGTTAGATGCTTGCAGTGGCACTTCTCATTGCTTTGTTTAATTTTTAATTTTTTTTCTATTCTGAACTTGATAAACACCCACAAACATGATCTTTTCCATATGCCAAGATCATTCATGAAACTGCAAATCTTGTTATGGACAACTTGGTTTTTTTTCTTAAGCAGAGTGGTCCCACATGGCGCTGTCATCTTCTGAACCTGCTTAGGGTTTCTTCTGTATGTTGTGAGCCACTTTATTAATGTGCTTTCTTCCCCTTTCTAACAATTAGATCAGCCAGAAAAATGGTTGTGTTGTTACATTGACTTGAAACTTCAACCCACTGTTCCCAGTTCTGTCTGCTGAAGCCAAGCAGAACAAGTCTGATCTTCTTTTCATGTGATAGCTCTTCCAAAACTTGGTGGTAACTATTGTGTCCCCTAATTTTTCTCCACTGTAAGCATCTCCAATTCCTTTCGCCAATCTTCATGTTTTGATCTCAAGGTCCTTCGCTATCCTGGCCATTGTCCTGATAGTCTTCCTCACTTCTTCCCTCCTTCCACCTCTTCTCTTTCACCTTCCTTCCTCCATCCCTTCTTTGTTTTTAGGTGAAAATTTTAATATTTTTTCCAATTACATGTAATAACAATCTTTAACATTTAAAAACAAATGGAGTTACAAATTCGCTCCCTCCTTCCCCCTCCCCATGCCTTGAGAAGGCAAGCAGTTTGATACCGATTATACATGTGCAGTCATTCCTTCACCCCCTCTTGCTCTCTTCTCCCTCACACCATTTCCCTCCTCTCTCTTTCCAGAGTACTGATGATACTGACCAAGAGAACTGTCACCTCCCTTGTCCTAGACATGATGTCTTTCTTGGGGCAGTTCTGGTACAGGTTGGCCTAGATGACAAGTGAAGGGCCTTTAACCTGTGAGCAAGATTCTGCAAGCCTGTTTCATAAACCTGAGTTATTAGCGAATTGTGTGTGTATGTGTCTCTCTCTGTCTGTCTTTCTAGCATTATCATATCATTGATCTTCCTACTCACATTTTGGACAAATGTAGGCCCTTGAACTGTTAAAATTGCTCCAGGCTCTGTGACAAGCAGAGGAGAGGAGAAACAATACCTACTTTATTAATGTTTTGTATTGCCCAAAGTAGTAAAATTAACCACTTTAGAATCTTAACAGCACAAGTGGGATGGGATGTAGTCAGATTGGCTACAAATGCTGCTTGCTCCATTTGAGGGGGCCTGGTGGCCCTCACTTCTTGGTAATCATTGACCATTGGCTAAAAAAAATCAACTATAAGAAGTAATAGAATTTTTTTGGAGTATTACTGAGTGATAATTTCCCCAGCAATAAGTATCCATTCTTATTTCATGTCAGGAGTGTTGTATAATGACAGACTTCTTTTTTGGGCAAATCGTGCTTTGAGAAAGATCTGCTACTTTCTCAATTTTCCTTATTTTATTTACCAAATAGAATCATGGAATCACATAATTGTGTAGTTGGAAGGGACCTCAGTGGTGCCTTAGTCCAACCCAGACATAGAAAGGAATCCCCACTGCCTGAAGTCTGACCCCTTTTCAGTCTGTCTTCCACATGGTTGCCAAAGTTTTTTTGTTTTCCTTTTTTTGAGACACGTGAGCCTGAGCCCACTCCTGTTTGGCTCTGGGGGCTCAACCATATTGGTGCCAGACTTGACACCCTTATTGGCATTAGTCTGACTGTAGCTGAGATCTCTAGAACTCATATTCCACCAGCCCCAGCCTCTCCCCGTAGCAGGGAAGATAAGCCTCCACAAGGAAGCCTTTCTTGATCCCCCAGTTGCTAGTGGTTCCCATATGTGTGTGTCATCCAAAGAGAGCAGAGGTCCTTGAGGTCATGGATTATTTTGTTTTTTGTCATTGTACTTCCATTGCTAATACAGGGGAGGCAATAAATATTTGTAATTGATTGATGTAATGTACCTAATGAGTGGTCATCCAGCCTCTGCTTAAAGACCTCCAGCCAGACCCAAACCAGTGTCTCTGGACAGCTAAAAGTGGAACGGTCAACGTTTGGATTGCTCCAATTGTTAGGAACTTAATCCTGATGTTAAGTTTAGATTGGTGTCTTTGCAGTTTGGAGGCATTGCTTCTGGTTCTGCTCTTGGGTACAACAGATTCAGGCCTTTTCCACATGATCACCCCTAAAAATACTATAATACAGTTGGCATCTCTCACCACCA